TTCTTTACCTCTTTGTCTCTCTGCAGACACACACGGCGCTTCGTCCCTCGGTCCTCACCCCTTTTCTCTCTCTCTCTCTCTCTCTCTCTCTCTATGTATGTGTGTGTCCCCTCTCTTCTCTCTTTTAGCCTGTGGCTGTGTGTCTAGTACCATGGAGCAATTGAAGGTGACAGGGCCAGAGAGAGAGGAGGGGAGAGGGAGGACGTGGCACTCTGTAGCCTGGGGGCACACAACAACACAGAGAGAGACAGAAAGAGAGAGAGATGGTAAAGGAAATGGGAGGGCAGAGACGACAAAATAAGGAAGACGACAAGTGCTCTGGAACCAAACGGATGACACAGAGTGATGGAGAGGCTGTGGGCCTAATGAATTATTTGTAATTGATGCATTAACATCAGTGCCTCTGCCGGATTTTGGCGTCACACACTGGATATCAAGGACTACACTTACTCCTTTACCACGTATACATGCACTCTCATACATGTACACATGTTTTTTTAAGAACTTGATGTTAATTTGTCCCGGCATTGTTGCTATGGTGACCTCTCTTCCCCCTCCCCCCCAGCAGAGAGAGAGAGAGAGAGAGAGAGGGTGACAGGGATGAACTAACAAGACACTGAAAAAATGTGCCCTGAAGGAGCGTACGCTCACACACCAGCACACATAATAAACGCGCACTCAACGTCACATTTGTGCAACACGCTGACACTAAATAATAGCAACATTTTATTAGGATCCGTTCTCATTTACTTCATTTTTGTAACTATTTCAAAAAATATGACCCACACGGAGAAAGATGCTCTTCGTCTCCCATTGTGTTTCAGTTCAAATCCTCCGTCTATTTGTCTTTTTCCATGAATCCTCTGAACGAGTGACAAAGGAGACGTAGGTATGGGGGGAGGCGGAAGAGAGCGGAGGGTTTTGTCAACCGGAAATAAATAAAGCTGGCACCCTCCTTCTCCTCCGCCTCCTCTGTCTCTCATCTTCGTGCCCTCCGTGTCCCCCTTCCTTGTTTTTTTTTTCTACAAGGATACATCCATGGCCTCGTTATGTCTTCCCTTTTTCTCTCTTTCTGTTTCAGTTCCTTCGCTATCATGCGTGTACTGCATGAAACTCCTTGTGTTTTTGTTCGTGCCATGACAGTGTCTGTTAACCTGATGTAGCTTGTCACATTAAAGGGATAGTTCAACCCAAAATCAACATTCTGTCATCATTTACTCATGTCATTCCAGACCAGTTTGATGTTATTTCTTCTGGAACACAAAAGGAGATGTTTAGCAGAATGTTCAAGCTGCTCTTTTCCATACAGGGGAAGCAGCATAAAAGTAAGATAACAGTAGTTCACATGACTCTTGCACTATATTCCATTGGTTACACTTTATTTCAAGGTGACAAACAGTGTAACTACACAAATAAGCACTGATTAATATTAATTAACAATGTACTTGCACTCATTTCTCTAAGTGGGAAGAGCATTTTAATAATCCAAAGAATAAATAAATAAAGAACCTTTTTCCACTAAAAAAACAAACAAAAAAAACCTTTGTGCAATGGAAAGGTTCCATGGATGTTAAAGGTTCTTCATGGATCCATAGATGTCAATAAATAGCCTTTAATTTTAAGAGTTTACTGGGGTTAAGGTTAGGGTTAGTTTCTTGTAATAATGCATAATTTATTGTTGTTACTATAGCAAGTACATGTAATGTGTAACTATTTCACATTATTAAAGAAAAAGGATTTATATTTTATTAAAAAAAATGTATTGTCATTCCAAACATGTCATTCCATAACAAAGTGTTTCAAGTTTTCAAAGGTAACACATAGCTTTGACATTCACTTTTATTTTATAGCAAAGAGCAGTGTGAATATTGTGCTCAACTTTGTGTTCCACAGAAGAAAACAAAGTCATACAGGTTTGGAAAGAATGATAAAAATTCTTATTTTAAAGTGAACATTTTTTTTAGATTAAATTTTAGATGATCTCTTTAATATCTGTGTACATCTACTTAGTAAACTCTGTTTATGGGCATAATACCCTAGATTTAATAGCAGAAAAACAGCAGTGTCTCCCAGGCTCCCCTTTGTCCTAGACAACATTCCCCCCTGCTAGACTGATATGTACTTCTGTTGTAATAAAAATAAATAAACTCATGTCAGTGTAATCTTGTATGTTTTTTAATTATTTTTTATTTTTAGCATTTTAGTTAAGATTTTGTTATTATAAATGCATTTGAATCATTTCAAGACTTTTTGGCGGCGCCCTGAAAGTTTGCTTATGGGCCCCAGCCCCCTGGTTGAGATACTGCCTTAAAGTGCTACATGAAAAGAAAAAAAACATATGCTTCATAATTCAAAGATCGGTCTAATACCCAAAATACGAAAACAAAACCTCTTTGATCCTTCTTACCTCAAGCATTTGAGGTCTCATATTTATTCGACTTTTCCCCTAAGTTGAACCTTTCATATTAACTAGCACCAAAATTGTCATGCTTGTATGTAATGTCGGATGAGTCTCCTTTATAAGAACGGCAAGTCTCTCTCTCAGTTTTTCTCTCGCATTTTAACGTGTCACAGGCTCTTTGGTTTTTAAAGTTAATCCAATAAAATATGCAAATATAGCATTGGGATTGTGACAAAGTGCAGGGGAGGGTAAACATGCTATATACACTCTGACGTGTGTGTGTGTGTGTGTCAGAAGAGAGGCCCTTGCACGCAGGTCTGAAAGTGTCTACTCATGTTTGTATGTAATCATACTAGCAAGTGTGAAGTTGTGTGAATTTGTTTTCTTCTCACGAGAGCGGCAGTGTCTTGATTTAAAATACAAGAATATAATGGTCTGTTCATTGTGTTTACCATTATTTAAATAGTTTTCTTTTAACCCTCATGTTCATTTTGGGCACCATTAGGCACCAATGCCATTTTAAAAAGTATACTAAAGTTAAAGTAATACTTTTCCATATTATATAATGAGAACACATCTCATATACTTACCAAAGCTGAATTTATTTGATAAGAAAATACAGTAAAAACATTAATATTGAGGAAATATTATTACAAAAGTAACTTTTCTATTTGAATGTATTTTAAAATGTTATTTTGTTTTCCTGTGATGGCATTTTCAGCATCATTACTCTTTTAGCATCATTAGTCTTCAGTGTCACATGATCCTTCAGAAATAGTCTAATGATGATTTGCTGCTAAAGAAACATTTATTGCAGTTGTACTGCTTAAAAGTTGATGAATAGGAAGTTCGAAAGAACAGCGTTCATTTGAAATAGAAATCTTTTCTAACATTATAAATGCCTTTATTGCCACTTTTTTGATTAATGTGTCCTTACTAAATAAAGGCATCCATTTCTTCAGTTCTTATACTGACCCAAACTTGTGAACGCTAGTGTATAAAAACTACATCTGAACTATAACTTGGAAAATACTACATTACTCATGTTAAAGGCGTATTGTGAAATAATGCATTGCAATTTCACATGACAAGACTCCCTGACTTCTGTGTATTCTTTCGAGATTCATTGTCCGTAGCTTTTTTTGGGTTAAAAATTATCCAAAATACATATTTGATCAAATACATAACTAGCCAGTGTTCAAAACTATCTGCTTGCCTTAGCTCGATGCAAAACGGTAAGCTTGTAATAATGTTTTTAATTTTAGTGGTACTGGTGGATTTCCGCGGGAGATTCGAGCATGTCTTTGCGTCATTACGTCACATCTGTACACATAAAGAAGGAGTCTCGGCTAGTATAAGCTATATTGCGTGTGAGGATGTTGGAGGTAGAGATTTATAGCCTTTTCTCACAGCACTTGATATAATTAAACTTATCAATTTGATGGCGGATCCAGAAAGGTTCAAACGACGATCATCATCAGTGACAAACTGACAACTAGAGACTCACCCGCTGTAAAATGCAAAAGACTTCGTTCGGACTTCGGAGTGGCTACAGAAAAAAAGAGACTGCAACCGGACCCATGCGAAAACAAGGATAATATCGGAAGGACATTACATGATGTAGTCACGCAATGCTTGCTGACGTTGTTAACATTAACAATTAGAGAACATAGTGCTATAGCTACTTTGCACGGTTTTGCGTGAAATGATAACTTATAAGCAATTGTTAGATTTAATCAGCGCGATTTACTGCAATGTCAGAACCAGAACAAAAGTGAATGTTTCTTACTAGTTCAGATGACATTTCCCGGTGAAAATTCTTATGTTGGTCATACTTCCAAAAAGAATAATCTGTGATTCTGAATGACAATATCCACATCGGCGCGGTGACTGACAGCTGCACACTCTCCTCAAACACTGTGTTCATCCGCGCTGTGCCGTGTCGAGGGTGTTCAACTACAACCCACGTAAAGTTGATAATTCCGCGAATGACTGCAATTGCAGATTTCGAACAGAGATGGCGACAAAGAGGAAAAATGCCGGACTGCAGCCTTAACAATTGCTTCTTTTTTTTTTGTATTATATTATTGAGGTCAGACATTTTTCTGAGAAGCTTTTGACTACTTAATGATAAATCAAAAATTATATCAGCACACTGGATTTAGATTACTTCAGATAAACATATTTAAAGAATCTAAAGTGAAAATAATTGGTAACACTTTACAATAAGGTTCATTAGTTAACTACATTAGTTAACATTAACTAAGAATGAACAATACTTCATCAGCATTTGTTAATCTTTGTTAATGTTAATTTCAACATTTACTAATACTTTATTAAAATCTTGTTAACATTAGTTAATGCACTGTGAACTAACATGAACAAACAATGAACAGCTGGATTTGTATTAACTAACGTTAACAAAGATTAACAAAAACAGTAACAAAGTATTGCTCATGGTTAGTTCATGTTAGTTAATACATTAACTAATGTTTAACAAATGAACCTTATTGTAAAGTGCTACCATTATTTTTATAGGACCCCAAGTATATCAGCAAAGTAGATGTCATCAGCGCGGAGGGTTAACCCACCACTGGCCGCAGGCTGTCACAGAGCAGGTGCATGATCTGAAGCTCTCACAGCTCTTAGGTTAGCCATTTTTGGAAGTCCGTATCTACAAACAGCGATTTGCCTTTGTGAGACTTTAGAAATAGCTTTACGTCTCCTCTTTTTCAGTCATTTTTTGCCTCCACCTCTCTCTCTCTCACTTCATCACCCCTTTTCCTGGCATTAAGTCCAGACCTGACACTGACACTGACTCTGTGTGTCATCCCTCTCTCTCTCTTTCCCTCTCTCCCTCATTGCTTCAAGGACCAGAGTGCCTGCAGATGCATTTCTCTGTAGCCCACTACCCCTCCCTCGCCTCCTCTCTTTCGCCCTGTCTAACTCTCTCCATCTTTCTCTCCCTTTCCTCTCCTCCCATGCTCTCTTTCTCTCTCTCTCTCGAACACAGTCTAACATTAACAAAGCGAGAGAGCAGAGAGAAGAAGAGAGGGATGAACAGAAAGTGATAGAGACACTGGGCAAGTGTGGACCACTTTTACAATTCATTCATCTACCAGGTGAGTCTCCTTCCTTCACTGCCGACACAACGATTGAGACATTAACAGAAACATGACTCTTTTATTGGAAATAACAAATAGAGTGAGGAAAATGATTGGTTAATTGTGGAAAGCTTATGGCAGACTTGACCTTTGACATTTTCTGTTTTGTGTGATACCACCAAAGGCTAAATTTAAATAATTGAAATGTGCTTATATTCATCTTGGCCTGAGAGTCATACAGTCACATTCAATTAATGAAAGTAATTCATTTAAAATAGTGAAAACTTTTTCACCTTTTTTCTATACATCAATATACTTGACAGCATTATTTCATTATTTATTATTATACTTTATCAATGCATTGAATATTATTATATAGTAGATGTCAGCACATGTTGTATATAAAAGGAGCCTCTGTATGTGGATTGTATCAATATTTAACTATTCATTTCCTGGGCATATTCATTTATTAAATTAAATTAAATAAAAATGGAAATTTAATAAATTTTTTATAATTTTATTAAAATAATATGGAATTGTACAAGGAGTTATTTTGGCTTTATTGATTAAACAAAATGTAGAAATAATTGAATGTATAGTGTAGTTGTAATGCAAATTTTTATGGCACCTGTGTTGTTTCATGTCACCTCTTTATTTTTTGTTTTTTGTTTCTCCTTCCATATATCTGTGTATTGGTCTGTTTAGTAGTCCTAGATCTTCTTTTTTTTATCTTTGAGGGTCATGTTTTACTCTGAAAAACCCATGCAAATATTATCATGCAAGCACTTCTACGTCATCTTTAATGGTTAGATCTATAGTATTCATGACGACGGCCTCCTTTCTGTGTATGTTGGTAGTTTTACATGCAGAACTTTTTTTCTGACTCTTCAACAATATTTATTTATTTAGCGGAACGGTGTTTTATAAATTATGTGCAGGTGCTGGATACACTTACATTTCAGTTGGTGGCTTCACGACACAAAACGTAGATTGTGTGCCATTGTGCGGTGTATCTATAATTATCTCTTTGTTTTGTAGAAGTGTGTCTTTCTCTGTTGTGTAGACCCCGTGTGTGTCTGTGCATTGTTGTTAACATTAGTTGACAGTATTACTCTCTCCAGTCATGCGTGTGTGTACGACAATGTCAGACTAGATGTTCTATTCTTCTTAATTACTCGCTGTGTGTGTGTGTGTGTGTGTGTGTGTGTGTGTGTGTGTGTGTGTGTGTCTGTCTGTCTGTCTGTGGGGGGTCAATGTGTGTGCACGTGTGAAAGATAGATAGATAAAGACAATTAATTTGTGACCCATACTTTAAAGAGCAGATGGGTCATTCCATTATTTTTAATTTGATATGAAATTTCTGTAAGATTTAAAAAATATTCTGTATTCTGGGCATATACTGTTTTAGTGTTAATGAATTGCATTGTGCAATCTTAATTCATACATTTTAATAAATGCTGGGTTATGTCTATTATAGTTATGCATTCAGAATGGGAACAGGGTTGACATTTAACTGTTTAATTTGACATTTCAATCCTTTCATTACTGATATTTTTACGTTTAACTACTTTTAAGTTATCAGTTGTTTACTTTAGAAAATCATAATAACAGGGTTGACATTTTAAGATATGGATAAATGGATAACAGTTTGTGGACTTTAACTTGTCATTGGAAAGTTAACTTCTTAAAGGACACTGATGCCATTTCAACTAAGTTATTTTAATCTATAGAATAGTGGGCACTTATTAAGATGCTAAAATGCTAGCTTTTGTTTCCATATATTTTGTTTTCAAAAATTTTGCATAGTTGCTAATAATGCAAGGAGATGTTGGAAACACAAGGACTGAGGAGAGGCCCAAAAAATAGATCATAGAATATTGAATAAAAATACATAAATAATTGTTTTTAAAAAAAAAGCTTATTGGTGTGTTTAGATATATATTAATACACAATTGAATTTGGCATCAACTATTCATTGTTAAAGTCCTTTTCCCCCATATGCATATGAGACAAAACACCCGTTTTGTAGAATGACCAAGATCTGTTTATTCTCAGTTACAAAACATGTTAATCAGCAAATCATTTTTTTTTTCTTAAAGCCATGGAGAGGCCAAAAGAATGAAATATGAGAGCTGTTTACTGTAAAATATTTTTCTCAGTTTTGCTTCTTTTGTCCTTCATTCAGGGTTGGAGTGGTCTGGATGAAAGAAGGAGAGGGTCAGTGTTTTCTCACAGGTGACATTTTATGTATGAGAATCTGACTATGCTGAACTTACAAAACAGCTCCAACTGGACTGGCCCAAACAACTGGTACCACCCGGCCGACACCATCACCCCTCAACACGGAACAAGTATGTGAGCTTTAGTGAATTATCTCTGTATCTAGCACCTCAGCATGTGAACGTACACTGTGTGTGTATGTGTGCCAGTGTTTTTGAAGTCAGCTTTGGGGTGAACCAGCAATTCTTATACTTGACTGAGCACAAACAGAGGGTGCCAACAGCTACACCATCAGCCACGCATGTACACCCACCCACACCCACATACAAACACGGCAGTCTCTGGCCTTGACATCCTCTGTTTCATTACAGGAAGGCGGAACTAAAGCGAACAGACATTAGACAGGATTAGATGCCCATAATACAGTTGCTGCTCATTCACACGTACACAAATAAGGTCAAACTGTCAAACACAAGATGCTGCGGTGCACTAGAATTACACAATCTTCAAAGAGACAGTGCTGTCTATATAATAACATACACATTTGCACACTGAAATGCAGCACTCTTACAAGACTCTCTAAAGTTGAATGTTTTTCTCTTCTTCTCTCAGATGGTTGCGTGGAAGATCTGAATGTGCAGATGGCCGGATCAGGGGAAGGAGTGGTGCAGGGAGAGAGGGATGAGGTGGACGAGTCACAGCTACACCTGCAGCTAAAGAGAAAGCTGCAGAGGAACCGCACCAGCTTCACACAGGAGCAGATCGATGCCCTGGAGAAAGGTGTGACTCAAAGCGCTGGCTCAAACTGAGCTTTCCATGCAAAATAATCTCAGTCCTACAGAGGATAGATATTTTACATATGACCATTCTTTACTAAATCATGATAACAGGGTTGATATTTAAAGATAAAAAAAAAAAACTATAACAATGAGTGGACAAACGTGCCATTGAGAGTTATGATGTCATTATGAGAAAGTTATTTTGATCTATAGAATAGTTCATTACTTTAAAAATGGAGAGTTATGATAACAACAGGGTTCGCACAAAACTCAAACCTAATTTTTTTGTTAAGGAATTAAGACAAAGTTACTGAATAAGATAAGAATAAGAAAAATTTACTGAATTTTGTTGATGCGTTTAGTTATTTATTAATACGCTAAATTTGGCATTAACTTTTCACTGTTAAAGTCATTTTTCCATGCGAAATAATCTCAATCCTATATTGTGGATATGTATGATTGAATGACTGATTCATTTTCTGCTGCATTCCACCCTTTCTTATTCTTTCATGTTTTGTCTTTTACTGTAAAAAAATAAATAGTTTTGTCCCATTATTTAATCATCCTCATGTTGTAGCAAACCTGTAAGACTTTTTCTTCTGTGGAACAAAAAGAAGATATTTAAAATATATATATATAATTACTTGTTTTTTTCTTCCATACAATGAAAGTCAATGGGGTCCAAAGTTGTGTTCTGTACAGAAGAAAGTAAGTCATGCAGGTTTGGAACGACATGACAAAATATTAATTTTTGGACAAACTATCCCTTTAATGTTTTAAATATTAAAAATATTAAAAAGTCTATTAAATCCGTTTTCCAGAGTTTGAGCGGACTCATTACCCAGATGTCTTTGCTAGAGAGAGACTGGCAGCAAAGATTGATCTTCCAGAGGCTAGAATTCAGGTAATAGTGTTCCTTTAGCATTTTAATTATCTTCTTTGAGATTTGAATTGTGTTAATGCTGAACTGCCTTTAAACAATACAGAAAGACACTGTCCATTATGCACTGACCCATACTGGGGTGATTGACAGGTATGGTTCTCCAATCGGAGAGCTAAGTGGAGAAGGGAGGAAAAGCTGAGAAACCAGAGGAGGTCAGGGGGCACCAGTTCCTGTTCTCAGACACATACTCCCCTAAGCACATCCTTTAACTCCCCTGTATATCACTCCAATCATAGCAACAGCTCAGGTATGTCTTTTTTTAATGTCTTACTTCACACTATTAGAACATGTATGCTTTGCTTAATAATTGACGGCAAGATTTCTCCTTTGTTTTCTCTCCTATTTTCATGCATTGGTGTTTGTTTCACTTTGTCCTGTTTGTTACTCTTTCTTCAAACTCCTCAATTCAAATGTCAGTGTCAAAGTTCTTTATTGCCATGATTACATTATTGCCAAAGCAAGCATCAATAAACACAAAAGCAGTAGTAGTAGTAGTAATAGTAATAATAATGAGCTGATTCTATCCTCTTCTGTTCTCTTATATAAGGATCAATGCACAGTCGGGGTGATTCGTCTCTCTCAGCCTATAGCTCTCTGTCTGTCTTCTCCAGTATGCAGGTAATTCATGACCTCCTTTGCAGTATACCATAGTAACCTTATAAGGTGTCTGGCCTAATGCTCATAATTGTAATCCTACATCAGTGTTTAAAAGTGTAATTTTTGTTTCTGTTATGACTTATTGGCTAATACTGACACCTAGTGGCGTGCAATTGTTGTAGGCCTCTGTTACAAATGCCACTGTATTAAAAGTGATGGTTTCACACCAAATTAAAATTACGTCATCAGTTTACTCACCCAGTGAATTTCATGTTTCTTTGGAACATAAGAGAGCGTATTTTGAAAAATGTTTCAGAGGGTTCCCCCCTCCCCCGTACAATGTAAGTCAAAGGTCACCAAAACTGTCTGGTTACCAACATTCTTGACATTCATTCTGGCTCTGGATCCAACTCCTCCCCCTAGATTTCGTGTTCTACAGTGAGGACCATCTCCGAAATTGACGAAGAATCCCCACATGAATGAACTCACTGAATTAAACAGAGGGGCTTTTTAAATAATAAATAATAATAATAAACGCTTCACTTTTAATGAAGGCTATGCAGGTAGCGTTTATTCAAAACAGTTTTTTTTTTTTTTTTTAAATACAGTTTTAACGTAGTCTACAGTCAGCTACAGTGTGTAAAATATAAACAGAAATCTATTCTTTCCAGACTAGGCCTACTTTTATTTTTAATGTCTTAATTAAAAAATGATGCCGTTTCAAACATAATAGCATCCGCCTTTTTGTTTCGTTAAAATATGCAAAAGAGAGTGCTTTCTAAAATAGTAAATAATGCAGACATAAATTCCAGTAGACTACACGCATTACGCAACTGCAAGGTAAAACCATGCCGTTCTTTGAGTCCGCCTGACATTCAAACTCCTTTAAAATCGTTTATGTAGCGCCCTCTAGAGTTGCTGTGGAATATACACAGCCTGCTGTAGTTTCTAAAAATAGACACTCGCACGTATAGGCCTACAGCAGGTTTACAGTTCAACAGGTCATTTTTACTCTATAAATACCCTCCCTTTAGTCAAACAGATCAGCATTATATTTAATGACTTCAAATTCAATCACGTCACAGCAACACACCCAGTAAACACACCCAACAAGCCTGTGTTGTTCGGACTTGACTGTGGATAATTGATCTAAGACACCATCATAAAAACTTCAGAGTAATCTTATATGGGTTTTTTATTTTTGAATTAGAAGCTGTCAAATTAGTTTATTTATGAATATGTTTATACTATAAATGAAATGAGATTAATCTTTTATCTTTTTTCATCCTTCTTTCCTCTCCACTAGTCTTTGCCCTCCCAGTCCACTCCAACTTATTCCTGCATGTTACCTCCTTCTCCTTCGGCCCTTCCCCCTCTTTCTCGTAAATTTGACACCTCATCCTATACCTCTCCCCACCTCCCGCCCCCACCGACGGTGAGCACAAACACAGGTGAGTGAAGTTAGTTTTGTAACATCCACCCTCACACCGCATATGAATACTGTAATCCAAAACACTGTGTGAATGTGATTTAGCTGCTTTGTGGTTTCCTTTTGTGGTACAATAAGTGGTCAGAAGTGGCCATGTGTGAAGAACACAATGATAAGCCCCTGTGTCTCTCCCAGGATTCTTTGCTGGTGTTTCCGCAGCAGGGCAGACTGCAGTTCAAGGTGGCGATCAGGAGCTGGGACAAGGTCTGAGTCAGTACTGGACGAGACTGCAGTAAACAACACACCTTATCAATATCAGATAAAACCAGCAGAGCTTCAATCAGCAACTTTGAGCAAAGTATTTAACAAAAAATGCATCAGGAAAACCTACTTATTTAGATGATTTACACATCAGGGAAGCAGACTATGTAAGCCATAATCCTGTATATAAAAAAGATGTGGACATCACAAACCTGCACATGCGGAAGAGAAAATGGACTCCAGCATTTTTGACCTGCACCTTTATAGGCCTAGTCAGCAGAACAATGGCAGACAATAGCACAATATCATTCTCAGATATTGGTGACAAAACAGTGCACATCTAAAAATGCCTCATGTTTATGCAACAAAAAAAATATTTTTTAATTGATGTGCCAATTACAATCATTATGACAAACAGCATGTGACCAAAATGAGGATGTTTTAAAACTGCATTTGTAGTTATACACAACTGTTCAAAAGTTTGGTGTTGGCAAGATTTTTTTATATTTTTGAAAAGGCTGCATTTATTTGATCACAGTAAAACAGTAAACACAGATGTATTGTGAAAAGTATTAATATATCTTAAAAGATGACTCCAAACTTTTGAACCGTGTAGATTAATGGTATTGAAAATAATGGATTTTGAGAAGTCTATTATGAGCCTATCAGTTACCAGTCCATCATAATATAGCACTGACCGACGTGGAGCAACCAATGACAATCAAGCTTAAACTTGAGCTAAGCACTGACAATCAATCAATTGCACAAAGTAGCATAAAGGATCAAAACTGAGTATAAATCGATGTAGCCGATGACAGTCAAAATACATTATTGCGAAAGGCTGCAAAGACAATCAAACACACAACTGATCATGTGTAATATACTGAACTTAATCTAATGATTTATTACTGTACATTGTTAAATGGACATTACTGTGATTTGATTCTTGCTTTATTTCACCACTCTGTAACATTCATAGGTTTTTTCCCCTGTCAGATCCCATGAACTAGATTTGTATGTTTGAATGTGTGTGCATATGAAAGAGAGAGACAGAGATAGGGAGAGAGAGTGATAATGTTACTGTATTTATTATTAGAATTGTGAACATTTTAGTGTAAACCCTTTTGTGGAATATCTTAACATTGAAATAAAAATATTACAGTCAAAAGGAACATGCATTTGTCTGTTTTCCTTCATGCAAAGTTTTTAGTATTTGCATTTACTCTTAGTGCATCTCCCAGAACATTCTTCTATGACTTTATGCATGTCTGTCTCCCCTCATCTTTATATTTTTCTCTAGAGTAATGGTGAATTGGTTCACTTGCAGCCGTTTGGGTTGTGTTTACTTATTACTGTCAACGAACAGTAGCATTTCCTGCCTGTGTGCTGGTGGATTTCCTGTTTTTGTTACTCACATTACCACACCCATTGAAAATAATGTTCTGACAAAGTTATTCTCACAGGGACACAAATGCAGACAGTACAGGAGATATGAATAACTTTTGATGTAATAAGATATATGTTTTCATCACGCATACCAGAACATACATATAGAAAATATGGCCACTTGGCCATGTATTTGCATATTAACCAAAAGATAGATTAAAATGAAAATCTTTTAAAAATCAGTTTGCCGTTTGTCCTTGAATTTCCTTTGGCACTCACAATGCCGGAAACTGGAACGGATACACTTAGAGGTCTGACTCTGGCCATATCTGAGATGTATCCTCCAAATTTCCGGCGCACTACACTTGATGAGTTTAATTAAGGCCGATGTTAACGAGCTGTGGAGACTGAGAGGGCAAAAGCACGCAAAATTCTCTGTTTGAGCAGAGGTCACTGTAATAGTCACGTCTCTTCTATTCCCATAGGGCCTCCAGTCTCCAATCAGAGCATGTTTTATCTAGTTTGTGCGAACATTGGGTCTCCTCCCTCAAACTCATCGCTCCATCTCTACCCCTCCCTCTATCTGTTCATCTCTTGCCCTCTGCCTGTCTTGGCCTGTGGTTCTCAAGTGAATAAACACATCCTCTGTTTCTCATGCTAACTTTCCTGGAACAGCTGAATGTGACAGATACAAACTCTGATACATGTCTAAAAGAATATTCCAGGTTATTCAGTACAAGTTCAGCTCAAACGACAATGGTTGTGGCATGATGTTGATTACCACAAAAATACATTTTGACTTGTCCCTGCTTTTCTTTCAAAAAAGCAAAAATATGGGTTACGGTGAGGCACTTACAATGGAAGCAAATGGGGAAAATCTGTAAATGTTAAAATACTGACTCTAGAAAATATGCATGTTAACATAATTTTAGTGTGAAAATCTGCTTATAAACTATTTCCAAGTCAAGTTATCCGATTTTACAACCCTGTCCCATGTAAACCCTAAATAAATAAAATAAATAATTGTAAAAAAAAAATGAATTAAACAGATTTACAGCTCATAAGTTTTAATTAAGGCATGGTAATTGAAATTATAAGCTTCACATATATGCTATTTAAATCCTCTAGAACTTGGCTCCATTCACTCTCACCGTAACCTCTATTTTTGTATGTTATTTACCATTATGATTTTTCTTCTCTTTATTTTTATTTTTGAAAGAAAGCAAGGGCCGAAATTAGTTTGAATGGTATTCAACCGCATATACCATGAACGCTGCTGACTGATCTTGGTAAAGGAATATTCTGGATTCAGTAAAACTCACTTAACATTACATTATTACAGATCCTCTTTTTAAATTCAAAATGACTAAAATATTGTGCAGATGGCAGGTTGGCCTAACTAATAAAAGTACAGGTAGTTAGATGCCACACAGGTTAAGTCATTGGGGGTCTAAGCATCTAATGCAATTATAGAAAATACACAATTAGAAATTTAAAATCCAACAGCTTAAAGGTCACAACATACATGAGACGGGGTAGCCATTTTGAACTCTGCACCACATTTAGAGTCCACCAAACTCTCTCTCTCTCTCTCTGTGTGTGTGTGTCTCTGAGAGTTCTTTGCTGATTTCCTGTCACAGAGGAAGTGCCTCACCCAGCTGTGTTGCTCCCTATTGGCTCACGGTCAGGAGAACAGTGATTTGGGGCTGATATGGTGGCCGAGCGAGGGATAGATAGAGGGAGTGCAGAGCGAAGAGAGGGAGAAGCAGTCAGGACAGGTCAGAGGGTAGGCAGGAAGAAGAGAGTGCACAGCTAAATAAAGACAGACAAGATGAAGAGAGCAAGTGAAGGAGGGTGCAGACTCAAGAGCATATCATCTCTGCTAAAGAGGAAATAACTCTGAGGTAAGACATCTGAGAGCAGATGAAGCTTCGGAGAAGAAAAAGATAGTTGCACGGACAGATATGATTTTACAAATATAAAGAAAAGGCTTGAGGGTTTGTCAACTTTGGATGACAAAGGATGTTCCTGTGCAGAGAGGCTTTTTTATGGTAAATACAGATCTCATTTTCATTTCTGCACTGATAGCCTATTCTCTATAGCCTATATGTGGCATTTCTTTATGATGAACATCATTGAGAGCTTTTGAAACTGTGTGGACTTTCCATACTTAACCCAGAATGTTTGCAAACTAAGATGTTCCTTGATCTTTCATTAACTCTGAATTTCCTCTTGCTGCTTTTCACTCTTATTTAATAACTGCGATTCAAGTCCAATTCAGCTTTATTCACTGCATATTTTAGTTCCCCCCCCCCCCCCCCCCCCCCCCCCCTGGCTTTTCTGACTGACCTTTTCTTTTAATCCTTATCCAAATTACTCTAACTCGCAATGTTTGACTTCATCGTATGATACTATGCCTCTATTCCTCTGTCTGACGGTCCATCTCTGTCTCTCCCAATCCTTGTACCAGTGTCTGATTTACAGATGACGCTGGACGGGGTTTGGGGGGGGCCGAGGGAGGACAAATGCTCCCCAACTACCCTGTCATCCATACCAACATTAGTATTAGTACCAGGCACAAGATAACTCTCTTTTCTGAATGACTCATAAATGTGTGTTTTTTTCCCCTGAAAATAAACCCTGTTTGGTAAAATACACACCTGAGTGATTTTATTTTTCAGTTGTTTCATGTAAATTCATTTCAAAATGTTCACTTATGTTTGATTTTGTCATTTTGTCTTTCTTTAGTCATAAAGTAGAAATTTCTGTTTAACACCACCATGCAAGACAGATGTGAAGGGTAAATAAACTTGTAAATGACAAAGTAACATCAAAACTGAAAGGGATTGTTCCCACAAAAATAAAAATGTTTTCTTATCTTACTCACCCTCAAGTTGTTCCAAACCTGTATGAGTTTCTTTCTTCGGTTTGAACACGAAAGAGGATATTTTATTAGTAGACAGATGACGGTAGCCGTTAACTTTCATAGTAGCCGCCTAGGCCTATTTTTTCCCCGACCGTCAACTGTTTGATTAACATTCTTTAAATATCTTCTTTCGTGTTCAACCCATAGACTGTAAGGTTCAACCATAGAGTGTTCAACAGAAGAAAGAAACTCATACACGACACGTTTGGAACTATGAGGGTGAGTAAGCGATTCTTTTTTGGGTGAATTAAAGAGTAAAATAACTTGTCGTGTTTATGACAATTATAGCTATCATTTGGGTCACATAATGGTATGTGTAATAAACTAAAAAGTTTATTAATGTACCAATTGAGCATACTGTAAGATTGAACCCTCTCCATTGGAAAAATGGACCCGTCCCATTTGACTCGTCCAGTGACATGCGCAGTGCGCACAACGTAAGTCGGTCATTCCGCAGGTCGGACTTGTTGACGCGGTAGTGAAACCGGTGAGCTGAAGCTAGGTTTCGACAGTGGAGTGGTATCTATAACATCGATATGATTATGAATCACCGCTTCAGACCTGATTTGATTCAGTGTGAGATCTGACCTAACGTTACCCCTGAACTCTCCAATAACATCAGTCATAACCAGGTCACAACTCTTAACTCGTCGGAAGTTTAGCACAGTTCGCTGCTGAGTCGCGCGTAAATGTTTCTGTTTTGTTTTTAGTATCCGCGTTTTAATAGTATTGACCTTGTCAGTGCGTTTTGTTGCTTTCTGTGTTTACGCGACTCGGCTGATTCCTTTGGACTTCGAGGTGGTGACCGTGACATATTTACCAGGTATGAACTAACGTTACTACTTGTGAGCTTGAACTTTTGTACAGGTATTTTCTGGTGATGCTTGCTTTCATCAAAGACTGACCGATGTCCTCTTTCAACTGTGACTATGTACTCGAATTCAGGTATAACAAGTAGGCTAACTATGGTAGTGTAGCTTTTAGATTTTTAAAAAGAGTATCACGAAGTAGCCTATCACGAAATCTCGAATCTGTTGTGGCAGAATGAACGTAAAGAAGCTTAAAATTCTCTTACCCCCCGGTTTCAAAGACAAGGCTTAAGCTTGTCCCGGACTAAAATGCATTTTTGAGATGTCTTAACCGAAAGCAACTTGCACTGACTTAAAATCTCAGTGCCATTTTTTGGTCTCAATATGCACACCAGTAATATTTTTTATAAGGCACGTTTATAAAAGCTACTTAAATCTCCTAATTTAACTAGCCTACTTCCTGGCTTAATCTAAACCCTGTCTGTGAAACCAGGCCTTATCTCTTAGTAGCTCATTTTAATCAAAATATATATTTAGGTTTAATTAACTTGATATTTTCCCAATTACACAATGATGTGTACACACACACACACACACATATCTAACCCATGGGTTGGTTAGCAGTAGCATATAGTAAAGTTACTCACAGACAAGCTAGACAACTACAAAGTTAGTTACAGATCGGGTTAGTACTAAATTGCAGATTTGGGGCTTAAGATATCTGACATGGTTACTAACAGGATTTAATCGTTAGGATGTTACTGTAATATGGCCTTGGTGTGTGACTGGCAACATAAGGGTTGCGGCTCTACATGTGCTCAGTGTTGTAAAAACAAAAACAGGGAGCCACAGTCACCCTATGACACTGATATACCTACAAATGTTTCAACTTTTGTGTCTTGAGAAAGGCACGCATAGAAGACATTGTTTTTTAGGTTCTTCACTGACTAGCATTTATGGGAAACGTGCTTAATTTTTTCATAAATTTATAAAATACCATTCAAGGCAAGAATGTCATCAATCTGACAGCTTTTGCAATGCAGAAAATTCCTCTGTTGAACTGGATTGTGAATGCAAGTAGTAAACATGCCACTACAGCAGAAGCTGGGTGAGGGTGTTTTCTCGCTTCTGCTGTGAAATCCACACTTGCAATTAGTTGGAAGCTGCTTAGAATTGATACGGTATTGGGTAAGTGTGTACTATCTGGCCTTAGATCACCTCTGATCTTACAATTAGCACAGTTATGGGAATATTTAATAATTCCAATCTAAATCTAAATGCAGTAAAAAAAAAAAAAAAAGCATAATTATTTTACACACAAAGTCCAAATTAGTATAGTAGTTTTGTATATTAGTTAAAGTGTGTCATAAAAAAATGAACTGGGTCTAGGCTCATACAAGTGGGATAAGAAGGGGAAGATGAACCAAAACATGTAAATGTGTCAAGTGTTTTGAGTTGTAAAACTGCCCTGGCCTGCATAAGAAATAACAATAACATACCTATAGTGGAATTTACAAGGTCTGATGGGTCGTAATAACCTGCAAAGTAGGTTATAACGAAATGCACTCAGTGAATGTGAGACATTATAGGAATGATAATATGCTTTAGTATACACAAACAGTTTTTTTTATTTTAGGCTTTCATACCAAATAATAGCCTAATATTATTTTTATTTTCCCCACTTTTTTTGTTCACTTGAACACTAATATATAATATAATGGTATTTTATATGTAATATATGTCAAAAAAGAAACCATGGGCCAAGTTTAGTCCAGTTATCAGGCATCATAGCGGTCACATCGGTTATTTATTATGCAGCCAAAAAAAAGTTGTTATATCTGGTCTTCAATTCATTGATCATTTCAAGTTACTTGAATGTTACTTTTACAATCAAAAATGATACAGGTTTATGCTGGTATTTTCGAAAACCCTGGCCTATACACACATTTGATACTCTGTAAAATAATCCAAGTATTTAATATTATTAGAAAATTAATGTATTTTTTTGTTTCTGTCAAAGTGCTGAGGTTGTCATCATGTTTGAAATGTTTGTGAAAGGCTATACATGACGTAGATAAAATGACTGAGGTAAACGAACTGGAACTTCCAGCTCTTACTGTGTTTTTGTATCTTTGTATGTCACTAGTTATACTTTCATTTCCTTCAAGTATCCACTCTTAATTAAGGTACTGGACTACTTCTCTTTAGATTGAATTGATTATTGGTTGTATTTTAATGCACATTTTTTTCACTGAAGACCAAACATACAAAGTGTACATTGACCTCCAATTAATCAATTAATTAGTCTCAATAGAGATTTGAGGCTCTGGTTTAGTTTTACGTGTGGAAATTTCATCAGCAGTACATTGGAATTCTGCAGTGGTGGTTTGTATTGTGTAGTCTGAGTTTTTTGTTCTCTCTCTGTCTCAGCGATGGCAGACGTGGTGGTCAGGCCTGCATCCCCTTCTCAGTCCATCTCTCTCCTGGAGATTAAAGCGGAGACGCGGATGGTGCTGAAGTCTTTCCTGCGTCACTCGCTCTCGATTCCTCCTGGTGAGAGGCCTGGAAGGATTGGAGGAGAATACAATGACCCAAACAAATTCAGGTGACACAAATAACTCAATCACATACAGAATTAAACACTGTCATGACGTGAAGTAAAACAACTCCATGTCAGATTTTTGTAGACTAGCACTTCTGACTTCTGAAATTGTTTTAACAAAGTCCGTCTAGAATCATATAGGTTATCTATCTCTGTAACTTAAAAAAAAAGGCTTGTGTTGTAAATTAAGAAAGCATTACCTACAAGAGGATTTGGCGGAAATACTGTATGTTATAGTGTTAGTTATTTAGTCAGTCTAATCATTTGCCATCTAATTACACAGAAATCATTCTTGAATCTGTCTTTCATTGATTATTTAAAAAAAATAATGCTGCTTCTCCCAGGATCTTTTCGACTAACATAATTTATTCAGTGGTCCAGGGGAACTTTTAATGGTCAAGTCATCTTTGCTTGAACAGCAAATCAATTATGTCTATCTTTATTATATGAAGATGCAAATTTGTGAAATTGTTGATGTAATTGTGATAAAAGAAAATGTACTTTAATATTTTGGAAATGAAAAAATCTTTCTCTCGCTTCCTTTTCTTAGTGCCTATAAAAAAGACAAGATAAGGAAAGATGCGAATGGATGGGACTCTTTGGATGAGGAGATCAGTGCCGCAGAGGAGAAGAAACATGGAATAAAAAATTTCATAAAAAGAAGATTGAGAGTTCGTTCGTCCACAATCCGCTATACTAAGAAAGACAGTAGCGCTGACCCGACTCCAAACAACAGCCTGGAGAAGCAGAGTCAGCCGGGCCAGTCCGACAAGCCATCTGCGAAAGAAACACTAAGTTTACCCAGGAAAACAGAGGTTTAAAAAAAACTTAAACATTACTTCTTTTTTTTGTCAAACAATATGTGTGCAATCTGCCCTGTTATTTAATGTTTCTTCATAAAAATATACACTGCAAATCATTGTAATAATCAAAAGCTTTACAGTTAAAAAATAATTTCTGCTGGGTTCAGTATGGCAAAAATAGGCTACTACTTTTTTCTCAACACTTCTGCTTGTGCTCGTGTTGGTAGTGTGTTACCTGTTAATATGGGCACCAAAATAAATGCGTTGCCCGTGCATGTGGTGCAAAACAGGAAAACACTATTTATATCTGAATAGACTAAAACCTGCTCTTGTTTTATCCGGGCCATGGACTGCAAAGCTAATTAAAAGCTTTTTTGGTTTCAGTATTAAAATATTTCCTGACCCATCAAGGAGCCAACATGTATTTATTTTTAGTTTCTTCTTTCTTAACATTATGTGATTTAATATTTCTATTCAGAACTTGTTAATGAGAAGATTTTCTTTTAGGAAGAGATATTCGCTCCATCATCTGCGTCTGAAGAGGAAGGTGACAGAAAATCAGGGAAGAAAAAGAAGAAAAAGCTGAAATTATCTGATATTCTCAAAAAAGTGTCTTTTAAAAAAGAAGAGCCTCGTCCTCGGCGCCCGGCCACGCTGCCTTTAAAAGATGCTTCAGGTGTTCCACAACCTGAGGAGCATCCTGCTTCACCATGTAAGTTTCAGACGTACAAGATATACAGCTTGTTTTATGGATGTAGAAGTTGAGACACAGGAGGCACTGTCAGGAATGTGTTCTTGATTGTTTTATGGCTTGTGCCTATAAATACACTACATTTAAAAAAAATAGGGTCGGTAAGTTTTTTTTTAAATGTTTTTTTTGAAAGAAGCTTTTATATAGTAAAAATGTAATATTGTGAAATGTCTTTAGAATTTAAAATAATTGTTTTCTATTTTAATATATCTTAAAGGTGCTCTGAGCGATGTCGGGTGACGTCACTTCTTGTTGACGTTCAAAGTATTGTCAAACGAAACGGAGGCTAGCTAGACCTCATCCCGTCCATCCCCTCCCCCTGTAGTTTTACTGATACTTTATTCAAGGTGTAACGTTAATGTCGCCAAGTTAGATAAATGCTTTCATATAATGCAGAAAAAGAGAAACATTACCAGAAAAACACGATAAAACGTTTCGCCACCTGAGGTTATAACTTTAGCGCCCATAAGGACGCAATAATAGCAAGATAAGTTAGCTTCGCGTTTCCCAGTGAGCATAAACAACGGCTCCGTCATAAACTAACGTTACCTGAATGTCGGATTGGAAGCCCTTCTGCCGGCGGAGTTCTCGCCACCTTTCGAAGGCTTTTCCAATGTAAATTTGGGACTTTGCGCGTTCCTTCTCCTTTTCCCTCTTCTTTGCATTTTTGCATTCTGTTCATCGGAACGTCGTGTGTCGGCCATATCAAACTTAAAGAGTTATAATTCTAACTTCCCTCTTCATGCTTCTCTCTCCTCCACACCCCCCTTCATGTGTACGCGCACTAACCCCCCAAATCATTCTAGTCGGTTATTGGCTGGAACACTGTTTGTTTTGTTTCGTGGAGCGGGTTGGCCCAGTTTGTTTTTGTTGCCGTTGGTGGAGCCTGGGCTGTCTACAGAGACTGCGTTTTTTACAGTGTGTTCAGGGGACAGCCAGCTAGCAGATAGTGAGGAGATGTTTGCTGTATGTGACAAAAAAAATGTTTTGGCCTAAAAAACGTGTGACATCGCTTAGAGCACCTTTAAAATGTAATTTATTTCTGTGATGCAAAGCTGAATTATCAGCATTATTACTCTAGTCTTCAGTGTCTCATGATCCTTCAGAAATCACACATCATTCAGAAATCATCATCATCACTTTACTATCACTTTTGATCAATTAAATGCATTCTTGCTGAATAAAATTATTAATTTGGTACTGACACCAAACTTTAGAACGATATGAAGTCTGCATATGATATGATGTAGGCTAATAATTTTTTTCCACAGCCCATCCTCCTGAGTTTTATGATGATGTGGCAGAAACTTTGGACAGAATCGCACAGAAACACAGTGTAAAAAAGAAATCCCCCGTTAAACCTGAGCCTGTGCCAAGTCCACCCAAAGGTACATATAAAACCATAAACCGATGCAAAACTTGTTTATGACCTGATGAATTTATCATTTTATCATAATGTGTGAAGTAGATACATTTTCAGTGGAATATCAAAGCAAGAGCAGACCAGTAATGTTATGTCACATCTTGCTGTTTGATGTCGTTACAGAAATGGATGTGATTTAACAATACAGTGCTTTAACAATAGCTTATTGTTATAATGGACTGATGGTCCGGCTGAGGTCTTTCCACTTGCATTGTTTGGAGATTAGTTTACACTTCTTCCTTTTGTTTGCAGTAAATGACAAAGAAGCTGTGGTTCAGCAGCTAGTTCAGATATTGACTTCAGAGGGGGATGCCATTAACAGCAAGGTAATGTTCCCTGATCTGAGTTCGCCATCCTTGCTAATCCTTTTTTATATCTTACTTGGGATATAGAGTAAACTTGGCTCTTAAAGCAGCTCTTGGTTCCTTATCGTAAAGATTTAATAGCATACATAAATCTTGAGTTTTTGACTATTTATGGTCATATTTTCAGTTGCTGCCTTGTTTATCATTGTTAATTGTGGTTTAATGTTGTAGATAAACACCAACCCCTTCCTGCGGTCCACCCTCTCCCGCCTCTCCTACGCATCTTTTGCCAAACTCCTTGACACGTACGCCGGTCAGAGTGAAGAACCTCCTGTTCCCGCACCGGTCAGCCCTACGCTGCGGCGTCTCGCCATCACCATGGATGTCTCTCGTCGAGTCGTCACAGCTACTGGTGTTCAGCGTCTGACAGGCTATGCTGAACGCTACATGGAGAGCTTTGCACCATGGGTGAGGAGCCACGGAGGATGGGTGAGCAGTTTTTGCTGTCTACATTTAACTTTTCCTCAGTCTCTCTCTGGGATATTCATCTGTTATTTTCTTCCAGAAGGGGGCACAATTGTGTCAAGTAATCCTCTCTTTTTGTGTCTTCTTCCACAGGATAAAATTGCACATTTGGATGAGGTCCTGGAGTGTGATTGACCTCAGACCTTTTACTAATGAACTCATGAAAGTTCTCAAATCATGTAGCATGACCTCTGTGAGGCAAAGAAGAAGAGAAGAACCAGCCAACTGGGGAATTGACACTACTTGATTAGAAAGTTTCTCTGCTGATGTATTTATTATTCTTTTGTATTTTGGATGTTTTTTTATGTGCCATTTTATACCAAAATACATGATGCCAATCTTCTACTGTTGTATTGCATTCTTTTTATTTGTAATGACCTTAACAGACGTTAATATAGTACTGACCGTTGGTTTAGTATAACAAATCATCAACTCTTAAACATTTAATTTCCATTTATAGGAAATTCACATTGATTGCATGTTCATTGCAAGCAGTTATAAGGGTATTTAACAAAGAGTACAATAATTCTAGGATTTACATTTTCCACCTACTGTATACCTTTACTTTATATTCATTTAATCTTCTTTTTCTAAGTACAAATGAATTATTTAGCCTTTTATCTGGTAAATTAATTTATCTGAGATTCGTCTGAGCTTCTTCCTAAGTGCAGTACTGTAATCTATGTGCACATGCATATCACGTCCAGTATCTCTAATAGGCAAGTCTGTTTAAACATTCATTACATATTCAGAATGGGGCGAAGGAAGGGTCAGTCCATGTATTTTTCTGCTCGTAGGATTTGGCAGTACATCAGCATGGAGAACACCAAAGCAAGAATCTGGAGGGAGAAAAATGCAGTCGCATTATACCAGTTCTTAAATTCATATAATAATCAAACTACACCAGATACACAAGTTTAAAAGTACCTGAACAATTCCAATACAAACTCCAAACCCAAGCACTGAGGTGATGTTAGCCAGAAGCCAGTCCTTGGCCTTCTCATAACACGGCTAAAACACATTTAAAAAACAGTTTTATCAGCTGGTCATTATCCCAAAGTAAGCCATGACAGTAATCAGGTCTCGGTTTAATTTGTGCTAATGACTGGCTGGAAGTACATCTTGCTTATTACATAGTTACCAAATAAATAAACAACTGGTCATGAAGTTTAAATTGTCGTAAATGTACTCTATACCATTCAGATGTTTGGGGTTAGTAAATTCTTTCACTCCTGGTTTCACAGACAAGGCTTGAGTCAGTCTCAGACTAAAATGCATGTTTGAGCTGTTTTAACTGAAAGCAACTTGCTCTGATATATCTTAAAATATGTCAGTGCCATTGTTTTGTCTCAAGATGCACACCAGTAATGTTTTTTTGTATAAGTTATTAAAGTCGCTTAAATGCCCTAATTGAACTAAGCCCGAATCCTGGCTTAATCTAAGACCTGTCTGTGAAACCGGGCCTTTATGATTTTGAAAGACACTCTAATGCTCACCAAGGCTGCAATTATCTGATCACAAATACAGTAAAAGCAGTAATATTGTGAAATATTTTACTGTAAAATTAAATTACTGTTTTCTATAAAACGTTTAATGAAAATTTCTGTAAAAGTTTTTGCACTATTTAAATTCGGATATTTCACTTTAATTTTACATTTTTTGTTTGGCAGCCGTGTCAACTGTCCCTTTGCGCCATGGGGTGGTGATTCCAAGAATTATAATCTCCATTATTTTTCAAATTTTAAATGTATTTGTATTGTTGTAAGTAATTTGAGAAAACTGTAAAAATTGTTTACTGTAATTTGTCATTAATAGCATAATACTACTTAAAATAACAGATGAGATAATTTTGAAGATATTTTGTAAATTGTAAGTTCAGATTACAATTTAAAATAAGATTAAACAAAATAGTTATTTTAAATTACAAAATAGGGATTTTTTTACAGTGTACATTTGACGATGTAATTTATTCCTGTGATGACAAAAATGAATTTTCAGCATCATTACCCCAGTCTTCAGTGTCACATGATCCTTCAGAAATAATAATTATAATATGCTGATTTGCTGCTCAAAAAACATTTCTTAAAAAGGCATCGTTTCGCTTCAGATGGCCTTTATTAACCCCCTGGAGCCGTTTGGATTACTTTTATTATTTATGGATGCGCTTTTTTGGGCTTCAAAATCTCAGGTACTATTCACTCCCATTATACAGCTTTGAAGAGATATTTTTAATATAACTTCGATTGTGTTTGGCTGAAAGAAGAAAGTCATATAGGCTACACCTAGGATGGCTTGAGGGTGAGTAAATTATGGGACCATTTTAATTTTTTGGATGAACTAACACCTTAACATATCAGATGTATGTAGGGTTTGTGCCAGATTTCCTTTTATATTACACTTGTGGATGCAATTATCAACCGTTGGCAGGATTTAGGAACGTGTGGTACTTAGCTGACCCCATGACCCCAGAAATGTTCTGACCTCTTCCCAATGATGGCATTCTCCAAAATGATCCCTGCAGCAGGAGACAGGAAGTTCGCCGTTGGATGTTTTATTGTGCCAGTCGGTGTGGTTGCTCACGCCACAGCACTTGAACTGAAGGAGACAGAATCCATGATATACATTGAAGAATAGTCTTCATATTTGTGACTGTTATAAACCCAACTCACAATCTTCTGCATGTTGTCCCAGGATTTTTCCAGCCCTTTATTTGTTTTATAGTCATTCATTCCCTCTCTTAGGTCATCCTTAGCCTTTTTGTCCAACTAAATGGACAAAACAGAGACAAGCGGATAAACAGGAAGTAGAAGGCAAAGTATTTTCCTGAAAGGAAAGGCTTAAATACTTGCAAGGCTCAGACGTTAGTCCTCTTACCTCTTCATGATACACACTCAAAACCAAAATCAGTGCCATTTCTGTCAGGACTAGAAACAAGAGGATCACAAAAAACTGAAAGAACAAGAAAAAACTATTAGAGTACATGAATGACAACAATATTCCCATATAGGGATAAAAATCACCAATTAAATATTTTTATTAACTCATTTATTTCTCTTAGGCAGCAATGAGGTTAAAAAAGAGCAATTGAAGACTTCTGCTTCCTCTGCTTCTGAGATTTTTGTCCTGAAAAGTCTCATTCTGGTCTCAAATTTGCCAAGATCAATCAAATTCTTAGATTTCAATATGAACTAAAATATTTCTCATCAAATACTAGTCCAAATTATTTGAACTATACTGCTATAGACACTAATTTTATTGTTCTGTACCCAACAATTGCCTCTCTTTTTTTCCCTATAAGGAGAAAGATTAGAGATGAGGATGATAGTTGAACTTCTTCCAAATAAAATGTATTTTTCCAAATATTTTTTTTTACATGAAATTGAAATAACTTAATTATGTACATTATATATTAAATTAATATACTGCCGTTCAAACATTTGGATTTTAAATGTTCTTGAATAAATTCACTTTTACACTGGCATCATGCGTGGCAAAAATGACGTCATGCTTACCAAGGCTGCATACAGCAGAAACTATTAAAATATTATTACATTTTAAATAACTGTTTTCTATTTTAATATATTTTAAAATGTAATTAAAGGTAGAGTAGGCAAAAAAAATTATAAACACTTTTTGTTGGTTGAAACACTCTTCATATCCTGATAGCAATCAATAACAGAACTGGTTAAAATATTAAAACATGTACATATACATAGTTCCCACAGGCCAATTAATGTCACGTGACCTCCCCGGAGACGCCATCTTTGAGGGCATAAGCTGCTCTGTTTACAAAGTTTTACAAGCAAATTTTGAATATTTCTTTCTGTTTATAATGTTACGAAAATCATGAAGAGACTATTAACACAAGACAGAGAAAGGTACAATGCGAAAATTCATAAATGGTGTGGATCCGTATAACGAAGGAAGCACTGAGCACTGATTATGCAGCTTTGCCTCATACAGTATTATCATGTGTAACGTTACGTTACCATTATCTGGTATTTTTTTACACATGTGAGCAATTCCGAGCCTAGAAATCACTGGAGGCGTACAATCAGTTTGTCGAGGGTTGGGTTGGTGACGTTTGCTCAAGTCGTGCAATCAATGGAAAAGTAGTCATCATAGCGAATGTACTGTATGTAGCATGATGCTAGACTATCTGTCTATTAAAAAGCCATAGCCTGCACAACTTAATCCCTGTTCCCCTTAAAACAGTCATCGGTGCTTTCTGTAATATGCATGTACTTATTTGTACAGTGTAGAATAGGGTTGGAACGGTACATGTATTCGTATTGAACCGAAACTGTGCGGGCGTCTCGGTTCAGTGCATGAATATACACGATGTAAAAATAAATAAAACTCGCGTGCAAATTAGTTAATGTAATGTGGAACTACTTTATACGCGGGTTCTTTAGGGACATAATCTGAGATTGGAATGCTGGAATGTGTGTGTGTGTGAATAAGGCGCGGGCGCGATCGAACAGTGGAAACTGTTGTTTTTCATACCTCGACGTCATTATGTTCATACAGGACACAGACTGATCTCATGAAATGGCGTATGTATGACACGCCAATTCGTATCTCCATTTTTGGCGTGCTATCAACACGCATAATCGCTTTTCAGCGTGTTTATCAACGCTTTTGACTTAACGTTATATTACTGTATATATAAATATATGACCTACCCCAACCCCGTCCCTAAACCTACCCGTCACTGGGGTTAAAACCATTTATGAGTCTTCCCCTACCATCCTAGGAAAAGAAATATCGCTCCACAGATGTAGATATAGATTTTGCTTCGTTTCGCTCAGACATTTAACGGCGTACACATACACGCGGAATCACTCGGACATTTAATGGCGTAGACATACACGCAAAAGATTTCGGCGTGGACATACACGCGGATAGCTCAAAATGCGTATAGATAACACGCCACTTGAATTGAAAGTGGCGTGTATGTTTACGCAAAGTCATGATGTCATGTTGCAGGACATCATTCAAACTGTAAAGTGTTAACTTGTTTAACTTCGCCAGCCATAACCTCGTCGTTGTTCTGACAAAAGTTTAGTCTTCTCACATTCATGAAGTCTAAAGACGGGTATACTGTAAAATCCAAATTTAACTGAACCTCCGGCACGATTTGAACATCCATTGACCCAGCAGGAGATGACCATTTTCACTTTTTATCACGAAATTAACTCGTTTCAGCTTCTTCTTCTAATATTCTGCCCACAACATGCCCACAGAAATGGCGCCGGGTCGGCAAATGCCCGTATGTTGTGACGTCATGTAGGAACTATGTATATCTTCTGTAAAAGTCTCAGGACAAAAAAATGTTCTCTTATGGGATCTTATGTTTTCAAAGCTAGCTTGCTATTTCCAGCCTCTCTGAAATTGCCTACCATACCTTTAATCTGTGTGATGGAAATGCTAAATTTTCAGCAGCTATTATTCCAGTCTTCAGCATCACATGAGGGCAGTTTCCACATTTGTTTTACTGATGTCAGTAAGGATCCAAGTACCTTACCGTCATCAATAGACACTTCTGCTCTTTTAGAGCACCAAGGCATCCGAGAAATCCTGTCACCATGGTTACGCCCCCAGCAACAAGCAGCAGGTTGGCCGCAGAGAGTGAAGGGAAGGACAGCGGTAGAGATGAAAACTCAGACTGTGTGAAGGCGAGCCACACCCCGACCCCAAATAAACCACATCCTCCCAACTGCACAAACAAGCAGGTAAAGAAAAATAACTTTGCATCAGTTTAAGGCAGGTCATAGGAACAAGTGTAGGCCTGCATGGTCTTTATAAACATAATAGGCTAGTATTGAACACTTGCATAAATTCTTAAATATTTTGTGTATATTTATTGAACAGATGGAATACACTTCTCGTATTTAGGCATCATACACTTGGTGACTTTGTAAACTGGGCATCATACTCCAAACGACTGAAGATCACCACTCAAACACAAGCCTTGTTGCTAGAAAAAATCGTTTAGCCTATAGTGTACATTTCAATATTCTGTACAATCATGAAAGAAGAACAATACACATATTCCACATATTTTTACAGTGTACTCCAGTCTTTAGTTTTATGATTGACTGAGCGGCGTTCCATGACTGTTTTTCTGCATGTTACAACGTTACAAGCATAGGTGGTGACGAGTGATATCATTCACTCAACGATTCGCTGAGTGAATGATTCAAAGATTCGATCCACAACACTCACAGGAACGCCACTACTGAGATACGTAACAGTTGGTTCTGATAATTTGGGTTTGATGAATATGGTGATGTTAACTGAATATCAATCTGCCAAACTGATAATCTGCAGATCCCTAAAACAGAACTAACCCAAAAGATGAGGTTGAAGATAAACATGAGGTACTTCACACAGCAGAGGCAACCTCGTGACGCAGACATTCTGCATGAAAGAAGAAAGACAGGAATAGAATCACAAAATGACGATATATAAACGTATTGGGTGTGCTTTTAACGTGTGCAAACTTTCACACTCTCCTGAACATAGCATGAAGAGGAAGTGCTGTTTCCAGGCAGGAAGAAACCACCCTTGTGTTGTACTGCTGATAGCATTAACTAGAAAAAGCCATTATGTTCCATGTCTAAAACATACCTACTCATCTAGGGCCTCTCTTATACTTTAAACTCAAAGAATATTGTGGACTTTGATATGCGCCACTTCATATTCCATGAGCAGAAATCAACATAATCATGTTGGTGGTTATTTTGCTCTTTTTGTTCCACAAAATGTGGTCTACATGTGACCACAGAGCATATTACGGGACAAAATGTAAACATATAAGCCCCCTCAAAGTTAGGCAGCACATGGATTTATGATCTGATTTCAGTGGTATGTCAGTAATGGTTCTGGAAATTGGCACCATATGTATGCTGGAATTAAAGAGTTCTTTAAATATGAGATCACATGAAACCTAAACATATAACTTTAGTTTCTTGTGATTATAAATGCCTAGAAAAGTGTGCTTGAAGTTTACCTCCACTTTTTTCTTTTTATATTCAACTCTTTTTTTTAAATCAATTCTGCCAGTCCATAAAATATTTTTTTCTTTTTTGACCTAAATTAAAAACACAAACGATTATCTATCTTGTCATTCTATCTCAGTAAATCATAGGTTTGCTCAAACTCACTGTCAACAACATTTTTTCTCTCTATCTGCTTCAGTGGTTTGTAAACAGTACCCAAATCTATATATTTAATATTTCAAAATTTACATTAAACATCAATCCAATATAGTAGCTTTACCTTTATTTAGGTGGAGACAGAAAAAAGTGACTGACAGACAATTGAAAGGTTTCCAGGAAAAGAGTTGAGTTTTCACTGTGTCCTGAATCCAAAGCTTCCTGTATTGTCTTTTTGTTCTTACGTACTGATGAAGTTCATGAGATCCTGCTTTATTTATTCATTGACCGATATTATCCACATCACAGATGTGATTCCTTCAGTTCTCCAGGGTGTAAACGACTCTTCATACGTGCAAAAAAAAACTTAAAAGGCTTCTGTGAAGTGATGAACTTAAATGATTGGTCTTGCAGTTTCCAGGCACACAAAATTCTTCACAAGCTTTTCTTTCTTTGTTGTTTAATTCCTTCAGACTCGTATCATTTCTCTCTGGGATTACTCACGGGATTACAAAAAAATATATATATTTTTTCTTTTTTAAGTTAACGCAAACAACGTCAAAATATTTGTTTGCTTGTTAGTTTGTTCCCTCAACCTTAATTGCTAATTCCCGGTTGTCTTTGTCTTTCTATCTTTTCAGCTATTTACCTCCCTCTCTTGTTCCAAATAACTTCCAGATGTATCAGCCCTCCCCTCTGACTCTTTCCCCCTCTCCTCCTCCCGCTGGTCTCCCGAGAATCCTTTCTTTTCCAAGACCCTCCTCTCCTGAATCTTTCTCCCTCCCTCTTTCTCTTGGTTTTGTCCAAACAATCCTGATGGATGTGGCCAGCAGACACACATTTGAGGCTTTGCAGTCCTCTGTGTGTCTTTTTGTTTAGTCTTTAGATATTTAATCTATTAAACACACTACTAACCCTTTGTAGAACTCTCAAACACTTTTTGTTATTAACATTTGTAGTTGAATTCATTCATGTATTTTCCCATATGGTGAACGTGATACCAAGTAATGGTGATACCAACCAGTACAACATGTTACAACCGTAGACATGTTACAACCATAGACTGCAAAAAAGGTTATAACCAATCGAACTTGAGGGACAATTGTACTGTTTATGTCAAGTTTAGGTTTACAACCAGGGATAGGTGCTTCTACCTCAGTGTTTTTGGCCTATCATCTTCCTTTGATTTTAGGATTAGGTTATGGTTAGGTTAGGTCATCTTTATTATCCTCAAGGGGCAATTTGTTTCACAGCCAGAAGTAAACCATTCAATAAGCAAGAACAAACACGTAACACCACAACACACAAAAATAAAGGGAAAAAAGACTTCCTTAAATAATTTACCTAGAATAATTAAAAAAAAACCTGGTTAGGCTCCAGAGTAGTGAAAGGGTTAGGACTATGTTTTTATACAGAAATGTTGTTCCAGGATCAACAAAATATATTGATCCAGAAACATCTTGGCCAAATCACAGCAACCATTCGCATAATATATATATTAGGATGCAAAAAGAAAAAAGTTGGTAATCTTGTCAGGAGCTCCATCTGGTGGTCATTTGTAATATCAGTTTATTCAGTGCGTTAGATGAATATGAAGTTTGCTGGTAATGGGTTTTTACACGATAGAAAACAATGTCTCCATGTTATGTATTTCACACTGAGATATTATGTCAGAAATACCAAATGATGTTTTAAAAAAACAACTTGTTAGACATTTAAGAAAGAAAAAAAACATAGATTCTGATATATTTTAAATTATTGTTCTTGGTTTAAAGGGGTCATATAATGCCATTTTTGTACAAACTAGTATGATTCTTTAGGGTCTAAATTAAAAGTTTGTAATATACTTTAATTAAAAATTCTCATTAGTATTGTAAGAAAACACTTATTTTACCTGGTCAAAAACAGCTCTGTTTTCAGCACGCCGTTTCAGTGCATATGACTTTAAATGATAATCAGCTTTGCTCACCCCGCCTCTCTGTTCTGTGCGTACACCGTTTGTAACACAATAACACAATAACCGGATTATGAATTATATTGAGAACGTCATACATAGAAAACATGCCGTAATGTACCCTGAGTGTAAACCTTAGACGCATTCATTGTGAAGCGTGCAGCTAGCGATTTGCAAAGATTAATATATTTATATAAAGTTTAATAAAACGTTACACTCACTTCCGTTCTTCTGGAGATTCAGCAGGAACACAAATATCTGGTATCGATCCTTTTTTCAGGAGCAGCTTCTTAGCAAATCCAGCTTTATACTGATCCTCGTTTATAAAGCAGTCTGGTGTGAAATGATTCGCGCAAACATGAGAGCATTGACGTTGCTCGTGGGGAATATTCCCTTCGAAAACAAACACAGCCACTGCGTCTTCAGCGGTTCGGATTTAGGAACATTAAAATGACTGCTGTGTTCGTTATTACACCCAAGAACAGAACACCACAATCGCTTAGAGGCCATTCTGCTCATAGACAGTGCTCCAGCATATCAACAATGACCGCGCTGGTCCGGTCCGCGCAGACTATGATTGACAGCTGGCTCACGAGCGAGGGCGGGTCTGTGTTGAAACGCGCCTGTCATTCAACAATCGTGGGAGGGGCGTGCGAGCTTGTGACGTCACAGGCTCGAACGGCTCGATTTGAGGCAGGGGAAAACATATAAGGAGATTAAAACAAAACCACTGGATGGATTTTTATCATTATATGATGGTTGTGTACAGGCACTGCCAACACACATTTCAGTACAATCAACTTGTAAAAGTGCATGTACCATTATATGACCCCTTTAAATACACTTGTGGCCAAAGATAACCAACCTTTGCACCCCCCAATGACATTCCTACACGTCTCTATTTTCTATTTGGCGCACTCCTTGCCATTAGAAGGGCTGCTGGCTTCAGATTTTTCTATAATTCAGTGGGATTATAGTGTAAATCAATTTCTGGCTACTCCCAGACACATTTAGTTTTCAGTCATCTTTTTATCATTTGAGTTTAACATGTTTAAATCCATTTCACATAATTATATAGCCTAGATTTTCCCACAAAATCAGTACAGAAAATATTGGGCGTGTTTGTAGGCTATTGAACAAATATACCGTATTTTCCGGACTATAAATCGCATCAGTCAAAAAATACGTCATGAAGAGGAAAAAAACATATATAAGTCGTATTAGTTAGAATGTTTTGAAGCATTGAAAATACATTTTGGTCCAAAAATAACAAAAACTACGACTTTATTCAGCATTGTATTGTCTTCCGGTTCTGTTGTCAATCAGCGTTCAGTGATGCTGATGACATAAGACGCTGCTGACGTGTCTCTGGTGGGTCCGTGTATTCGGGTTCAAATATGGCTGGGCAAAAAAAAGCAAGTCTTCCTCTGTCGAAATCCTTAGACATGTTTGCGATGATTGTTTTGTTTACAGCGTGAGTCTCCCTCAGACTGCAAACGAAGCTCGGGCGCACGATAACACGTCAGCAGCGTCTTACGTCATCAGCATAAATGAACGCGGCTTGACAACAGAACCGGAAGACAATACAATGCTGAATAAAGTTGTAGTTTTTGTTATTTTTGGACCAAAATGTATTTTTGATGCTTCAAAAAGACATGTAGTCACGTAATGCTTGCTGACCAAACGAGCGGTTTGTGTGAGAAAACGAACAGTATTTATATCGTTTTTACCTCTTGTAAACACAGCCACGTCCAAGTGATCTGAGGTCGCGGGCGCTTCGGTCTTTTCCGGCAAGCGCCGGAAGTGATCTCTCGCGCGTGTACGTCACTCATACAATTGTTTTATTTTTTATTTTTTTTAATTGTTTTCTTTTACGACGGTTTAAACATCCCGGATAAGCGCAAATTAGTACCATTTTAATTAGTCGTCTTACCTACAATCTCTGTTCTGTGTAAACAATGAGTGACGTACACGCGCGAGAGATCACTTCCGGCGCTTTCCGGAAAAGACCGAAGCGCCGGCGACCTCAGATCACTTGGACGTGGCTGTGTTTACAAGAGGTAAAAACGATATAAATAATGTTCGTTTTCTCACACAAACCGCTCGTTTCGTGTCTTAGGCCATACATGTGTACTTACATTTACGAGTCATTAAATCATGTTTAATTTGGACTTCTCTGTGCATGCTCTTTGAGGAAGTGACCATAGACCTGCATTATATGACTGACAGACAAGAACGGTTTGACCTAAAAATATCAAAATTGAAACTATTGCGGAAACAAAGACACCTACATCTTGGATGCCCTTGAGGTAAGCTAAAACATAGCTGCTACCAAAAATTAATTTCAAAGTGAACTATCCCTTTAATCAATGCACTATATAAGTGCACTATCTCTAACCTCATTCATCTAAGCAAAGTAGTAGTACAACTGTATCTTTAGATGTAGATAAAGATACAAATTATACTTTTTTGGTAACGCTTTAGATTACAGCCCGGAAAGTACTGCGTAATTAAGACGAATTTACAGCGTAACTTTCGGTAATTATAGTGTACCTATAAAGTACTTACATGATGTAAGTATAAGGGAACAATATGTAAAGTTTGGGGAATAAAGGGGTAACAACCAGAAGAATTAAAAAAATATTTATACTGTAAGTATTATAGAACTAAGGGGTACTTATTCTACTATTATGATACAACAATCTTACATTTGGGAGCAATTTAGCAAGAACATACACTGCATACCTTTTTGTAATAATGGTGTACCAATACATGCTGTATAAGCTTTTAAAAAATTAGGGTACATATCTATACATTTATACAGTTTTTTTATTTAAACTTTTTTTATAGCAAAAGTGTTTCATTGTTTCAAGGCTTACATGTTTCAAGGCAAGTAAAGCTAAAACTATTGCAATTTTTTTAAATACTGGGAAATATACTCTTGTTTAGATACAGGGCAAGTGTAACTTTGCAGGCCGTAAATTAAAGTGGTGCTTGTTACCCTCTTGTTCCAGTTACAGGGTAAGTACAATAAAAATACATACACACAATATAATATCACTCGGAAACCTTTATTTGAAAAACAACTTATTACAGTTGGTCTGAAGCGATAGTCTACAGTTAAAAAATTTTGTAATTTTTCTTACAAACACCTATCGTCACTTCAGAAGACATTGATCCATCCATTGGGGTCGTATGGATTACTACAGTTATTGCAGTATATGCTGAATGATGCTCCAACTTTTAGGAACACATGAGCTTGCATTACATATATTCCCAGATATTTTTTTTTTCTCTAAAAACCTTAATTTGTGTTACTCTGAAGAAGGAAAGTCATATACATCTTGGATGGCATGAGGGTAAAAGATGAGTAAATGGTGAGGACGTATTTCTGGGTGTACTGCATTTTCTTTTAATATAGAATAGCAAGAGACATAATTTCTTCAGATTCATCAGTGGAATGAAAGAAAAAGAAGAGGAACAAAAGGAAGAAGCCAAGCATGAGAAAAAAGGGGGGACAAAACATGCTACTTTGACGGAGTTCACGTAGTGTAACAGCGCAGCGCTACGTCAGAATGTAGGCTCACTATTGGCCAGCATTACACTCATGACCAGCGTCGGCCAATAGTGAGCCTATGTTCTGACGTAGCGCTGCGCTGTTACACTACGTGAACTCCCTCAGAGACCCACACAGAAGAAAACGAATAGTTGA